CTGGGCGTGGTGGCTCACACCTGTAATCCCAGCACTTTGGGAGGCCAAGGCAGGAGAATCATGAGGTCAGGAGATCGAGACCATCCTACGTAATACGGTGAAACCCTGCCTCTACTAAAAATACAAAAAATTAGCCGGACGTGGTGGCAAGCATCTGTAGTCCCAGCCACTCAGGAGGCTGAGGCAGGAGGATCACTTGAACCTGGGAGGCGGAGGTTACAGTGAGCGGAGATTGGGCCACCTCACTCCAGCCTGGGCAACAGAGCAAGACTCCCTTTCAGGAAAAAAAAAAAAAAAAAAAAAAAAATTGGGAGCAAAGATCTGAATACATACATAGGAAGGCTAAAATCTTTATAAAGACCTTAACCTAAAAAAAAAATTGGGAGCAAAGATCTGAATACATACATGGGAAGGCTTAATGCTATCTTGATCACAATTCCAATGGAAAATCTTGGGGAGCAAAAACAGAGTAAAACCCTATAGCTTCTACCAATAATCAATACACTGGAAAGTCAGTAGCTTAAGAGCAATGAAACAAGGGAAAGCGCAGACCCAAGTGTAAAGCAAAGGTACCATTTCAAATTAGCAGAGACGGGTGCTCACTGAAAACCACTCTAAAATTTAACTCTTACCTATAGTTTAATAGAGAATGTTAACAGATAGTGAAACAGTCAAAACAAAAACAATAGCCTACAGAAACCAAGAACTGTTAAACATCCTTGAATAACCAACTCCAAACTCTGAGGGCAGTCAACAAAATGAGGAAACTAAGGTGTGTATTTTTATTCTAAAGACTAGTCTTAAGAAAATGCAGGTCAGGTGTGGTGGTGGCTCACATCTGTCTGTAATCCCAGCACTTTGGGAGGATGAGACAGGGGGATGGCTTGAGCCCAGAAGTTCAAGACCAACTTGAGCAACAGAGCAAGACCCCACCTCTATAAAATATGAAAAGTTAGCCAGATGTGGTGGCACACACCTGTAGTCCCAGCTACTCTGGAGGCTGAGGCAGGAGGATTGCTTGAGCCTGGGAGGTCAAGGCTGCAGTGAGCTACAATTAAGTCATCGTACTCCAGCCTGGGTGACAGGGCAAGACTTCGCTTCTTAAAAAAAAAAAAGGGCCAGGTGCGGTGGCTCAAGCCTGTAATCCCAGCACTTCGGGAGGCCAAGGCGGACAGAGCACGTGAGATCAGGAGTTCGAGACCAGCTTGACCAACATGGTGAAACCCTGTCTCTACTAAAAATACAAAAATAGTAGTTGGGCGTGGTGGCAAGCACCTGTAATCCCAGCTACTCAGGAGGCTGAGGCAGGAGAATTGCTTGAGCCCGGGAGGCGGAGGTTGCAGTGAGCCCAGATCGTGCCACTGCATTCCAGCCTGGGCGACAGAGTGAGACTCTGTCTCAAAAAAAAAAAAAAAAAAAAAAAAAAGGCCTCCAAAAAACCCAACCCAAGACTTCCACCCCCCAAAATTAAAACCCTTTAGGGTTTTAAAGACATTATGTGGGGACTTCTCAATAGATTTTGAAAGATATTATGGTTATCTATAAATCAAATTGTAACTGACTAGTCAGAAGTAGCAGCCTGTGTATTTATTATCCTGTATTATAGCCCAATTAAGTATTCCCCGAGGTAAACAAATCTGAGGTACTCTCTACGCAAAGTTGTTGGGGATGGGGTAGGGTATGAATTACACTACTATACCAATAGTTTATTACGGAATACAGGTTCACGGTTTAAAAAAAATAACAAAAGTTCCGGAGAAAGTTCCGGAGAGTCTAGGAAGAAGGTAAAACAAGGAAGGTCTCTCATCATTGTACAGATCCACCTAACACACAAGTAAAACTTCACCTGGAAATAATGTGAATGCCTCCTCGTCTAGTCATGTGGGATGGGAAAGAAGTTCTTCACAAAACCCCCCATCTTCACCAGAATAGTTCACTTTTACGTATTGGATATTCTGGTTTTGTCTAAAGAAAAGGGAAGATATCCTAGATATATTTCTAACAAATGAGAATGCCAAAAGCCCTGTTTCTGTTTTCTTTGACTAGAATTTAAAAATACTCAACAGGAGCGCTGACGAGTATTCCTTCTGTGCAATGCCAGTCCTAAACAGAACTCACTCACCTCCATTCTGTCTGTTCCCACCAGATTCCCAACATGCTTGGAACAAACATTCAGAGAATAGAAAACGTTTAAAAGCAATTTTTTGAAATTAAAAAAAAAAGTCATTTTCATCTTAATTTTCAAGATAGACATTTAAGAGTTGGAATGTATCTTAATGGCCAAATATTCAGATTTTAGCAGTTAGGATACCCAAAGCTTACCAGTCTAAGGATATTTTCTTGAAATTTAACTCCTAAAAGGAAGCAGAAATATTCATACTCATCTGAAAAACTCCTGTTACTGAGGGATTGGCCTGCAAGAGTGTGTGTGTGCGCGTGCACAGAGTGGGGGAAGATCCTCAAAGTCAATACTGTTTTAAACACTATGCCAATCGTTCCTCATCATTTGATCATGCCCATTCCCATACCCATATAAGACCTACACAATTAAGAAATCAGTTACTGTATCTAACTTCAGCTCTCACTAACACCGCGGGGGTATGCATTCCTCAAATGAGAGGTTCTGGGCACCTGAGAATTCTTCTTTGCACCTCAGAGCACCACCATTCCCCCTCTGGGGAATAAGTGTTTTGTGGAGGCGAAACACACAAACCCTCTCCAAAAACAAAATCATCTACTACTCAGTAATCAACGCAGGGCCAGTATAAACCTGTACCAAGCAGGAATTCACAGCAGGAGATCCTACTAATGCTTCTGACTCTCTGTTAAGTAGCAAGATACAGGGTTCTAATAAAAACACTAAAAAAAACAATCTGGTCCATCACTACTGGTGAGCCTCTAAGTTAAGCACCCTAGTATCGTACACTACAGTTGTAGGGAGTGGGAAGGTAGATGCTCATCGCACCTGTCTGCTGAATAAAACAGTACCAAACTTAAGAGTTCATGAACATCAATGAACTGTTTACTCTCAAATTATACCAAGCTAAAGATATTTCAAGTTTTCAAAGTGTTAAACTGCTCTATTCTGCCAGATTCCAGCTATGGAAAAGTGATCAGTGAATCACTTTACTAGTCATAGAATTTCTACAGAGAAGAGACAAATCTTTCCCTAGAGAAGCTTAGAACTAGACTAGACCAGACAAGTGGGTCTGCACACATTTTTACCTGCCGGGATTTATGCTATCTCACTCAGATTTCTAGAGTTTAGGAACATTTTTAAGAACTTACAATGGATCGTTAAGAGCCATTCACCTTAGAAAAAGGACAACTTTGTGTCCTGAGAAAAATGCATTTATTCTCACCGTAACTCAGTGCTATGCCAACATAATCCCCTGTCAACATTTATTCTGCAGCCAGCATGACTTCTTGATCAAAGAAATGCTATTGGGTCACTTAAAAGGGATTTTCAAATGGACAGGAAATTAAATGGCTGCCTGAATTGTTTTTTTTTTTTTAGCCAAAAACTACCTTTAACTGGTTCTTTTCACCTGTTCTGAGAAATTGGAGTTCAAGTCACCATGGGAGGCAGAGTCCTCATCTAGAAGCTTATAAACTGGTTATGATAATCAGCACTGCAGAGACCCATTTAACTGGCAGCTTACTAAAAAAGCCACAGGGAACACTGTCTTGAACTCCAAGCTTACGCATTATATTAGCCTGAATATAATGGTGGTTTAAACAAATAATCTGTATACAGCTACACAAAGCCACCCAAAATAAATTTCTGTATTTTTTTGCTCCCAGCTTCTCCTATTTCTTGGCACATCATAGTATTCAATTCTTCCTGACTGACCTCTTGAGTATTAAAAACTTGCTTTCAGAGAACTCCACAACATACAAGACACGCACAGAATAAATAACTTTTTTTAACTTTTCAAGGCCACATATCTATACACCAATCACATCTGCGAAAATACCACTGGGTTTGAAATCGATTGGGTGTGCTCCATGAAAGGTCTTCATACAGGGGAGAAAGGTTACCTTATGGAGGATGAATGCACGAACTAGGAAGAATAAAATTCCAGACATAATTCCAGAAAGCAGTGGGGACACGAACCAAGACATCACTGGAATAGAACACATTAAGAAAAAATATCAAATAATGAAAATCAGAAACCAGAAACCACTTTTAAATGTTTAAGAGTTCAAAATTCTTTGGTCTGTCCCTCCACGTTAGAACACATACTCCCATATCTAATGCCATGGTAACAAACGACAAACACGAAAATGAACAAGCCATTTGGAATTAAACATACCAATTTTTATCAGTTCAGACCACTTGACACCCTCCTGCCCCTTTGCCACGAGGGAGAAACCAATGGTTGCACCAACAATACAATGAGTTCCAGAAATGGGGAGCTTCAAAAACGAAGCAACGAGTTGCCACACAGCAGAACCTGAAACAGTCAAGTTTTATTAAGTAAATGGCAAAATTCCATTATGTAAGTGGCGCATTCAGAAAGGTTAATCTGAAAGGTTAAGCACAAAAATGGAACCACCCATGATACAAATTTGCTCACCCACCACAAAGAGGACAAAACCTAAAAAGAACTTACCAAACATAGCACTGACTGAGCCGGCCATCAGCAGCCCTTGAGTCGAGTTGTACATCTCCACGTCAATCAAGCCCTTCCGGATGGTTTCGCTCACTTTGGCCCCCAGTAAGACAGAGCCCACTGTTTCAAAGATGCTAGCTAGGATGCAGGCTTGCTTCAGGGTCACTACACCCGAGCCCACAGCTGTACCAAAAGAATTTGCTACATCATTGGCTCCCACGGAGAATGCCAAGACAAATGCAATAACGAAGCCCAGGATGAGCATCCATAGGTAGTCCACCAAAGGACCAGAAGCGGCGGTAGCAGCTATAGTACTGGTAATCAGCGTTGCCATTCTCCAGAGTAGTGGTTGTTTAGTAAGAGAACTACTGAGCGGCTTTCAAGATGTGTAAACAGAATATGAGGTATCAAAAATGCTATAATAAATAATATATATTATATAAAATTAAATACTGTAAACTACGGCACAGAAACCGAACTGGGGAGTTACTGCTATACGCTGCGTATGGGCATCTGTTGTCTGGGGTTTCTTTGGCTCAGGAGGGCTAAAAGCACGGAGCAGAATTCCATGGCGGAGAAGAAAAAGGACGCAAGTTCATCCTGCGGGGGAGGGGGAAAATAACAATAGCTGCGTGGCCCTGGGGGGCCAGTGGGGTACCCCGCTCTGCCCACGCGCCCGGGGCCCCGCAGTGGCCCCTGCGGGCTACTCCAGACCCCCATCCCCAGTAGCACGCGCGAGACGGCCGGGCACGTGGCTCAGGGTCCTCCGCGGCCCGCGCGCGCCCAGCCCAGCCCAGCCCAGCCACTGCGCTGCCAGCCCGCGCGCGCCCTCCGCGCGAAAACCGGAAAAGGGCCGTTCCCGCGCGCGCCGCCCAGGGACCGCCAAAAAGGCCCGCGGGCGGGCGGACGGGCGGAGTGGAGGCGGCCAGCTGCAACGAGAGAAGCCAGTCGCGCCGCCCACGCCGGCTGCCTCCAGCGCCACGGCGTCCGCGCCCGGCCCCCGGGAGAAGAAAGAGCCTTTACGAGGCGGCGCCACTACTCACCAGGGAAAAGGGAGGGCGGAGCGGGAGACGAGGAGATCGAGGCGGCAGCGGGAGCCACGGGTCGCACCTGCGGTCGGCGAGCACACGGCCCGGGTCGGCGGCACCGGGGACAGCTCCGCTGGACTCACGACTTATCCAGGAAGCAGCCGCGGGGGGGCCTCAGCAGCCGAGAAGAAGAAGCACGCAGCGAACGCCGGCAGCCATCACTCTAGCGGAGCACGCCGCCGGCCCCTACTTATAGCCCGCGCCGCGACCCGCGTGACCCGCCGCGCCTCGCGCCGGCCCCGGAGCCCCGCCCCCGGCATGACGCAGCCCTCCTCGGCCCGGCGTGCCCAGCCGGGTGAGCCTGACGGTGGCGCTCATTGGCCCGGCCCGCGCCGGCGGCCACGCCCCTAGCAGGGAGCCGGTCCACGTGGGGTGGGACAGCCCCCTCCCGGCGGCCTCGCCCTGGAATCTCCGCACTGTCTGGCCCCGCCGGCTGATTACCGCCAGAGAGCGAGGGGGACCTCGCCGTCACCCTGGAGGCCGTCATGCGGGGTTACAGAGGCTGCGACCAAAGTCATTCCTAGCTCCTCTCTCGGGGCTCTGGAAAGCCGTCCGCGCCTCCAGCCGCACTTTCAGCGCACGCATGACCTGCCGCGCCCGGTGGCCACACCCGTCCCGTCTGCCGGGTGACGCTGCGGGAGATCTTGCGCCCTGGGGCTCCGGATCCAGTTCTGGCACGTTGTTGCACCTGTGACTTGTCCTTGGCCTGGCACTGTCCCTCGCCTGGGGAAGGAGGGGGGGATGCTCACGTGGTCGCTTTGCTCCCGCAGTCATGCACTTGGATGAAAACAGAAAGACTGAAGAGTCACGGGAACCAGCTTGTCTCCCCAGTTATGGCGCAGAGCTGCAAGGATGGCTGTGGGTCATTAATTTCTCCGTGACTGACCTGTGTTTGTAACGCCGCAGCTGTGGCGAGGGGGAGGGACACTGCTTCGGATTCAAATTCTGCCTCCTTGCTGCAGTGTGTCACCTTGAGCAAGTCCCAGATCTCTGCGTTCTCACAATTGTAAAATGTTAACAGTGGCTGCCTACCCTGTGGCTGGAATTAAATGAATTAACGTGTATGAATGTGACTAGAATTCAGTACATGGTCAGGAAAAGCTGATTTCCGCTTTGCTGTTACCGTGAATATTCCTGTTTTAGGATGTAGAAAAGGGTGGAAGGGGATGTTATTGCATCCTGAAAGCTTATCCTTTTGAGGGAAAGATTGATTTCTGGCCCCCTGCGTGGTATATAGAGTAGTTTTGACCTTATTTAGATGTGTTAATACACATTTGGGGGTTGATTATTTGGCTTAAGATCAAGACTAACCAGTCGTGCCATGGAAGATTAAGGTCGTGGTCTCTTGTCAGGATTGTAGTGAGATTTCAAAATTCCAGCCAGAAATGCCCGTCTTAGAATGCTGTGAAGCCCTCCCCACATTTTTGCCATCTCTAGCAGGAGGGCACTGTATAGCAGAAACAGAGACATTGTAAATTGTTGCTGCCTGAGTCATTTATAGAGGATTAAACAACCTGAATGTCCTCTGACCTACCTATAACATTTGATGGAGTTGTATGAGCAACTTACAAAGTTGTAGGTCCCAAGGTCGGTCTGAAAAAGAAAGTTCATATCCGGGAGCACTGACCCCTTAGTGTAATCCTGGCACCTTAAAACGTACTGTTCCCTCCACCTTCACTTCAAGGTTAGGAAAACGTTGAGTAAAAAGGATGATCTGTTCAAAGTCCTTCGTGTTCTGCCCATTTAAAACAGTAATTTTCAAAGCAGTTATTTGCGAGGAAATTGCCTAGAACTTCTCCCAGTGTGCGGTTGTGTGTGTGTGTGTGTGTGTGTGTGTTTGTTTTCAGTCTGTCCACGGGTGTACTTTTATAGGTCTGTGATAGTAGGTAGCTTTTCAAGTTGGCAAACACTTGCTGGACAAGCCCTGAGAGATCCATCTGAGTGAGAGAGCACTCTCCAGCCCCATCGGAGTGGGTTTGCAGAGAAATCATACGGTAGAGATTCTAAGGAATTCCCTTGCGGTGCAATGAAAACTATCTTCAGACTCTGATATAGTATAATCCTTCCTTTTTAGGAAGAAATCCTTGTCTTTCCAACACTGAGATGCCTCTACCTCTGGGCAGAAAGGGTAGAAAGGGAGGTGAGGAACTGGGGTGGGTCCTCACTGCTTTGCCTCAGGACCAGTAGGGTACAGCCCTTGGAGACCAGGACCTTCCTTGGCTGGGACACCTTCATCCTCCCCTAAGGGAGGAGAGGTAGGGGTCTGCCTGTGGAAAGAAGTAACAGTGCCTTTTAAATAGAAGTAGGAGGTAGGAGGACCGTCAGTTGTCAGTTCATGCACAAATGGCATTGTTTCTGAACTTACCTCTGAATGCTGGGGTAACAGGTCAGAGATCCTAAAGAGAGTCTAACCACTTAGAATCCAGGCACTGGCACAAACACCCTCTAGTATCTTAGGGCGGTGGTTTGGTCTAGCGTTTAAACACATAGACTGTAAGACTAAACCACCTGCTCTATTACTATTCCTGTGACCATAGGCAAATAAATTCTCTGCCTCAGTTTCCTGGTCTGTAAAGGGGAGAGACTGTGATATCTAACTCACAGTGCTGTTGTGAGGACCAAATGAATGAATATATGTAAAGCCCTTCTAAAAGGGCTCTTATTCTCTTTGTTCAATAACTAGCTGAAGGCCTGTCATACATAGCCCATGTTTAAAATGAAGTATGTGTCAGATGTCAGGACCACCTTCTTCTCCCTGCCCTCTGATCCAAGCTCTTTCAGATTTCTCCCACGGCTCATAGTGAGGGGACACACAAAGCAGGCTGCTGCTGGAGGAAGAGAAAAAGGGTTGCGGCTCATGCCATGTGAATGGGCTCACTGGTCTGGCCCAGACCCTGACTGCCCACAGGATCTCTGGTGAGTCACTGTCACTAAGCCTGTGAGCTGAGGGTCCCTCCCCAACCTCACCCTCAGAGAGGACAGAACAAGATGACCTGTGGCATGCTGCAGAACACCACGCCGGGCACTGTGGGTTTGGAGTCTTCTTGGGGACATGTCCATCATTCACTAATTAGGTGGAGTTGAGCTGCCGAGAGCTAGGAAAGGTACTCTCCCCTGATCTCAACCTAGCCCTGCGGAAGACCAGACAAAAGAAGGAAATAATGCCATTTCTGCACTTTTTAGTTCAGAGAGGCACAGTCAAGGAAATGCATTTGAGGTCACTGTTCAATGTACATGAAGTACGCATCCTGGAAATAGTCTACTTGAAGCAGAGGGAGCTCAAGTGGGCATGGGAACGTTCTGGAGCCAGACCAGGAACAAAGGCGGCTTCAGAGGCCGTCTATGAGGACTTGAATGGGAGCAGGGGCAAGAGCATCCAGGGAAGAGAAGGTAGGAGCCTTCCAGTAAAGGAAAACCAGCGCCTTTCCACCCACCAATGCCCTCCCCCATCCCCAGATGAATGAGATAATAATAATACCTGTGGCTGGGCACGGTGGCTCAAGCTTGTAATCCCAGCACTTTGGGAGGCCAAGGCGGGTGGATCACTTGAGGACGGGAGTTCGAGACCAGCCTGATCGACATGGAGAAATCCCGTCTCTACTAAAAATACAAAAATTAGCTGGGTGTGGTGGCGCATGCCTATAATCCCAGCTACTTGGGAGGCTGAGGCGGAAGAATCCCTTGAACCCGGGAGGCGGAGGTTGTGGTGAGCCAAGATCATGCCATTGCACTCCAGCCTGGGCAACATGAGCGAAACTCCATCTCAAAATAATAATAATATCTGTGATGCAGTTGAATGCTTACTGTGTGCCAGGCACTGTTTCAGGTGCTCTGCATGCATTGTCTCAGGTGATGCTCTCAAATCTCGGATGAAGTATTTTCCCCTTACTTTATAGACAGAGAAATGGAGGTACAGAGAAGGCAGCGACAGTTAAGGCTGCGAAGAACCTGACAAGTTTCAAGATTGTAAGTGCCTTTTCCCAGGATGCCAGCAAGTGCTGAGGCAAGTATGATTGCCCTAGGCGCCAACTCTTATTTGCACTTAAGTTAACACATTTACTTCCTCCTTCTTTCCCCCTCATTTTTATTAACTCTGTTGCTTTTACAGCCTGTATTTTGAGCTGCGTCAAACCCTGTCGGAATAAAAAAAGGACATTTCTAGGAGATCAGTCTTCAAGATTGGCCCCAGTTTCCCCAGAGTAGGAAGAGGCAGGAAGCCAGAGCACATATTCTCTCCAGAAATAAAGTTGTTGCAGTGGTCTAACCATGTCTTAGAGTTACTGAAAACTGTTCTCTTGAGACTTCTCAAGAAAGGAAACCTATCTTGCAAGACAAAACCCACCTGTAGTCAATTCCTACGGGAAATAAGTTCAAAATAATGTTTCAAGCAAGGGGCACATGTCACCACCACCACTTTCCTACCGGCTTTGGATGTGGCTGTCCTCTCTGTCTCCAGACATTTCCCATTTCCCCGGCATCTGTGGCTCTGTCCTGGCAGGGTCCAAGGGACGCTTGGGATCGGGTGGGGGAAGGGTACTTTCAAGCACCCAGACAGCCAAGCCCTGATATGGAGACTGGTTGAGACTGGTCTCAGGCCAGCATCCCACAGCAAGAAAGCTGAGTTTTGGTTGTGCCAGGCAAACTGGTCGGTCCATTTCTCTGCCAACACAGGAGGACGGGAGGTTGTTCTACCCTCTCCAGATTTTACATGCCTCCGTCCTAGCTGCACATGGCCTGGTCTCTTCCCTTTGGCTTTGAGTTCACACATGTGGGCGTGATATGGCATAGGAGCCAGACAGAGGGAACAGAAACACAGTTCTTAGAGCTTGAAATGGTCCAGGTGTCTCTGGAGCCAGCTTCTGGATAGCACAGCATCCTGAATGCTTCTTTAGAAAGACATCTCTGGTGACTTAAACTGGGACTTCTTGTTTTCCCCAAGGCCCAGTTTTCTCAGCTCTTAAACGGGGAAGAAAGGCAACTTGCTGGAAACTTGGGAACTGTGTGTAATGAAGCTCCTGCAGCGGAAAAGGAAGGGTCAGCTTGCTGCCTGCACAGTCCAGGATGTGTGGTTTTAGGCTGAGAAAGTGAGGGGGCAGCAGGACGTGAGTCATCCCCACAGTCATCCCAGGAGGAGGTGGAGGGTAATAGCATCTGGCTTTGTATGGCTTCCCTAGCCTTTCATTCATTTGTCTGTTCAGTCAACAAATAGCCTGCTATGGATCTAGTGGATCAACAAGATTGACCAGCCCATGCCTTTATGGGGCACAAAACTCCTTCTTGCGTTGAGTTTCACACTGAGGACGGGCCATGAATACAACAGCCAAGGAGGCAAAGTCAATCTCTCCTTTCCCCCGACAGACCTGCCACTTCTGTACATGAACCGCACACCTCATCTTCCAGTTCATCCTTATTTATCATTGCCTCTCTCTGCAGACCACAGCACAGGAGACTGTGCCAGACCACTCGCTGTGCAGTCCACTCCACCACTGCAGAGCCTCCTGCTCCCCAGCATCCTTTTTCCAGGGTCAGTGCCCCTCACTCGTCTGATCCGTTCAGCAAGAGAAAGCTCCCCAACAAGACCCCCACAGAGCTTGCTGGGCACAAAAGGCTGAGTTTTCAGGGAGGGAGGAGGGCCTGGGGCTGCACCTCAGCTTTCCTGGTCCAGAAATTCAGGTGTTTGGGGCACTCAAAGAGAGGCTTCCACTGTTAGGAACTGCCTCATGGGAGACTGAGGTTCTGAGCAGAAGCCAGTTTCTTCATTTTCAGTGGGGAAGTCCATCTCCAATGATGGGGACCCTCTTGCCTTCTGCCTAGAGCCTTCCCACCCCAGACCTGCTGAGTGAGAATCTGCATTCTAACAAGATCCCCATGTGATTCATAAGCCTGCTGCAGTTTGGGAAGCAATCACAAGAAGAATGACTCTTGTTACCTGGTAAGTTTAGAAACAACATGTTAACACATTCCTTTTCAGTCAGATGTTCAAAAAACACCACTTTTTTCTATTTTAAGTCCTGTTTCTCTGAGCAAGCATTCGTACTGTTCTAGGTGAGGGAAAGCTTAGCACATGGGCCCTGGGGCCAGACTATTAGAAATTAGAATCTCGTCTACCATTTACGTGCTATGAGGTTGGGCAAATTGCTTAACTTCTCTGTGCCTCCCATTCTTCTGTAAAGTGGCGATAATAGGGTTGTTATGAGACTTAAATAAGTAAAATGCATAGCACTATCCCTGGCATTTAGCAAACACTTATTTGAATATTGATTGGATTTGGGTATCCCCCAGTTTTGTTATTTTGTTTTTATTTAGTTAGTTAGTTAGTTTTTGCGATGGAGTCTTGCTCCATCATCCAGGCTGCAGTGCAGTGGCGCAATCTCGGCTCACTGCAACCTCTGCCTCCTGGGTTCAAGCAATTCTCCCACCTCAGCCTCCTGAGTAGCTGAGACTATAGGCTCCCACCACCATACCCGGCTAATTTTTGTAATTTTAGTAGAGACAGGGTTTAACCATGTTGTCCAGGCTGGTCTAAAACTCCTGACCTCAAGTGATCCATCCACCCACCTCGGCCTCCCAAGGTGTTCAGATTACAGGTGTGAGCCACCCTGCCCAGTCCAATCCAAGTTGTTGTTTTTTGGTTTTTGGTTTCTGGTGTTTTTTTTTTTTTTTGTCACAAGGCCTCACTCTGTTGCCCAGGCTGGAGTACAGTGGTGCAATCTGAGCTCGCTGC